TGAAATGCTGAGTGGTAAGCTGTTGTGGTTTCTGATGTGCCTTCAGAGAATGATAAGCAGAATTTCTAAGCAATGCAATGTTAAGTGAATTGTGTCCAATTTTATGACTATGGTTGTCATGGTTGCTAACTGAATCACTGCAGTTATTAAATGAATCCTTAAATGGTTGTTAAATGAACCATGGGTTTCCCCCATTGTCTTTGCTTGTCAGAAGCCGGCTGGGAAGATCGCAAATGGTGACTACGCAACCCTGGGATGTGGCAAACATCGTAAATACATGCTGGTTGCCAAGCGCCCAAATGTTGACCATACGACTGTGGGGATGCTGCAACTGTCCTATGTGTGAAGACCAGTTGCAACTCACTTGCTTCAGTGCCGCTGTAACTCCGAATAGTCGCTAAACAAATGATTATAATTTGAGGACTTCCTCTGTGTTTCAATTCACGCAAAGCAAGCAAGGGACGTTATTTGTCCAAATCTTAAGAAGGAATTGAAACTGCCACGTTTCAGTTTGTGTGCATCTCACAAGGAAAAGATGTGTGAGATGTGTGCATCTCCTTGTGAGATGTGTGCATCTCATGAGGAAAAGTGTAAAGTGTGGACAGAAGGCATTGCCAAACTAGAGTCCTTCTGATGTGCTGGGACTACATTTCCCAGAATTCTCAGAGAGGATTATTGATTTATTTATTTACAGCTAATCCTCGACTTACCACAGTTCATTTAGTGACCGTTAAAAGTTACAACGGCAGTGAAAAAAGTGACTTATGGCTGTTTTTCACACTTACGACCGTTGCAGCAACCCTATGGGTCACGTGATCAAAATTCAGATGCTTGGCAACGGGTTCATATTTATGACGGTTGCAGTGTCCCCGGGTCACGTGATTCCCTTTGGCGACCTTCTGACGAGCAAAGTCAATGGGGAAGACAGATTCACTTAACAACCATGTTATTAACTTAATAACTGGAGGGGTTCATTTAACAACTGTGGCAAGGTTGTAAAATGGGGCAAAACTCACATAACAAATGTTTCACTTAGCAATGTAAATTTGGGGCAAAACCATTGGTGGGATTCAGCTGGTTTGCACCAGTTCAGCAGAACCGGTAACTAATTTTTTGTTGCCCAGGCCCAGAATGGACTTCCGGAAGTGGCATCCAGACAGAGAACTGGTTGTTCCCATATTTGAATCCCACAACTGGGCTCAATTGTAGCCGTAACTCGAGGCTACCTCTCTCTCTCTCTCTCTCTCCTCTCTCTCTCTCTCTCTCTGTTGTAAGTTTTGCTGCAAGGGAGGGAGGGAGGGAAGGAAGTCCCGCCTTAGCACTTGGCCAACAGCAGCCCTGCCATTGACTTTGCTTGTCAAAAGGTTGCAGAAGGGGATCACATGACCCTGGAACATTGTGACCATCATCAATATGAATCAGTTGCCAATGCCAAGCATCCAAATATGACCCACATGACCTTGGGCATGCTGCAATGGTCATAAGTGTGAACAATGGTCATAAGTCATTTCAGTGCAATTGCAACTTTGAACAGGTTTTTTTTTTTTTTTTTTGGTCATCAAGTTTTTGACACCTTGCTAGGTGGTACTCGAATATTGCCATATCCTAAAAGTGGTACAATCGGTGAAAAGGTTGAAAAGCCCTGCTCTAGGCGGCTTACAATATTAAAAAAAAACTATATATAAATAGAATGCTACAAAATTATAAGATAGAAAATGCGACAGTTAAAAGATGGGGAGGGAGACAATAGGATGAGCAGAGTAGAGAGGTGGGGATAATAAAGCCCCTGCTTCGAAGCTCCAAGCCAACGGACAGTGTCAGATCTGTAGGGTCTTTCCAAAGGGAAGGCGGGGTGGTTGAGGAAGGTTAATGGACAGAAATGTAGAGAATCTGAATAAAAGAATGGCAGCTTAGAATTAGGCACCCCGTGTCATCTATTGTATAAAAAGGGGAGGGGCAGGAATGGACGTCGTTTTCCTTCTGATGTGCTTCCAATCAATAATCACATAACGAGTCCCTCGTAAAACAAAGTTGGAACAAGAAGAATCTACTTTGCCAACGAGGCCTTCAGCTGAGTCAATACATGTTATCTTTATCATGCTGGGACAGGAAAAGCTTTATTTGCTGACAAATCTCTGGGTGTTGTGAGAAATAATGGTTGTGAATTATCTCAAACCGATAGCTGCGCAGCAGGGTGATGGGCCCTGTGACAAAATGGCTTTAGAAACACCATCTGGCAGAAAACACCCAAGGAGAGGAGCCTCAGAGATACCCCCATGTACAGTTTTTATAGAGTTTAAGTCACTTATGAAGTAAAGGAGAAGGCGTAAACTGGCTTCAACGTCAGGAATGGTGCTGGTTTGCATAGAAAAAAAGAAATGTTGCTGAAGATTTTTATGGTGGACCAAAACAGTCTGCCTTTAAGGGGCTAGGGCAGGGGTAGGCAACCCAAAACACTCAAAGAGCCACTTGGACCCGTTTCCCACCGAAAACAAAACACTGGGAGCCGCAAAACCCTTTTGATATCTAAAATGAAGATAACACTGCATATATCCTTTTTTACCTTTATTATAGGGGTGTGTGTGTGTATGTATATGTATGTGTGTGTATTATATATATATATATATATATATATATATATATATATATATATATATATATATATATATATATATATATATATATATATATATATATATGAATGCTTTTGTTTGAATCCAAATTTTGAAATATATATATATATATATATAGGGAGTTCAGACAGATTGGTCTGATTGTGAACACCTTGACATTTTCAACTGCCATACTGCAGTTTACTCTTTTTTACAATATCTCTTGCCTTGCCGCCCCCAACTAGGGGCATAGAGCAGGCTCAAGTTGCAACTGCGAAATATTTTTATATCCAAATTTCTTTTTTCTGACAAAGAGTAAAGAATTAAATTGGGAGACCAAGATGGACCATTTCTGGCTTTTTTGCCTTCATCAGTTAGCCATACCCTTTATGGGATTCGAACCTGGGCAGTTATACATACTAGTCAGTGATATATATATATGTAGGTCTTTGGTCATTCGGGTTCTCTCCCGCGTAAAATTGGAAGTGTCCTGGCGACGTTTCGACAAAGTCGCCAGGACACTTNATATATACACACACACACACACACACACACACACACACCTATAATAAAGGTAAAAAAGGATATATGCAGTGTTATCTTCATTTTAGATATCAAAAGGGTCTCTCTCTCTCCCTCCCTCTCCCTCTCTCCCTCCCTCTCTCTCTTTCTGCCCTTGGTCTGCCAGTCCTCTTCCCCCACTCTCTTTCTTTCTTTCTTTCTTTCTTTCTTTCTTTCTTTCTTTCTTTCTTTCTTTCTTTCTTTCTTTCTTTCCTCTCTCTCTTTCTCCCCCTCCCCCCCTCTCTCTTTCTTGCTCTCTCTCTCTCTCTCTCCCCTCTCTCCGATCTTCTGCTCACCTGGCAAGCTGGCTTCAAGTTGTTCTCCAACAAGCTCAGGGGTAGGCAACCTCGGCTCTTTTATGACTCATGGACTTCAACTCCCAGAATTCCTGAGTCAGCATAGCTGGGCTAGCTAGCTCTCTCCTGCCCTTCCTGCTTCCTGATTCCTGCAGAGATGCAGAAAAGGAGGAAGCCCTTTTCAGCTTGTCGGAGAAAACCGTGAGTCCACTGTCTTTTACACACACACACACACACACAAAGAGAGAGAGAGAGAGACAGAGAGAGAAGCAGGGAAGCGCAAGTGCCTCTCTCTGTCTCTGTCTCTCTCTGCAAATGGCAGAGGAGGCTGGGAGCCACAGGGGAAGGCTCAAAGAGCCGCATGCGGCTCCGGAGCCGCATGTTGCCGACCTGTGGGCTAGGGGAGGAAGGTATAATTTCCCTGCATAACATTGCTTTGGATTGTGAGGTGGGCAGCATATACATTTATTAAACAAATATATAATTCACAAAGAGGTCGGAATTGTTTGAGGGGGTTGACCGTCGTATCAGTCCTGGTTTTCATGTGGCCTCTTGGGAAAACTAATTCTCTATCCTGATTTAAAATCGTAGAATAAAGGAGGGGTGTGGATTGGAGAATAGGGTCTACACTGCTTTTTCCTCGTTTTTCTGAAAGCTTTCTTCTCTTCCATAAGGCTACATTTTCTATTTAATTCTCAGGTTGAATGACTTTTGATTGTGTTTTTGAGATTCCATTATTATTGCTAAGTTGGAAGGGGGTGATTGTCAGTGGTGTTATTATTATTTTTATTCCGGCACACATATTTGAATCACTCTGAATCACAGCTGAATCCATGCACATATCTGAATCACTGTGTGGTCATCTTAGCTATGTTCTAAGAAAACCTAGGAAGAGTTCTTTAGGCTGAATTGAACCATGGATAACCAAGAATAACAAAGTTGGAAGGGACCTTGGAGGTCATCTAGTCCAACCCCCTGCTCAAGCAGGAGACCCTATACCATTTCAGAGAAATAGTTGTCCAATCTCTTCTTAAAAAGCTCCAGTGTTGGAGCCCCCACAACTTGTGAAGACAAGCTGTTCCACTGGTTAATTGTTCTCACTGTTAGGGAATTTCTCCTTAATTCCAGACTGCTTCTCTCCTTGATTAGTTTCCATCTGTTGGAAAATAGGTTGACATACCAAGAAGTGCCAGGCATTGGAGAAATAGCTGTAACGAAAAGTAGGGCATTCACACATCCCCTTGTCCATGTTGCAGTTAAGGTAAGTCCAGAAGTCCATGATAATGTTGCTCCCTTTTTTTTTTCTCTTTCCATCAGAAACTGAAATGCAATCTGTTTTCCATTAACTCTGAATGGCAATGGTTAAAAAAAGGAAGCCAAAAAATATGTTTGGCACAGTTGTCAGTCCTGATGAGTTCTACTTACCAATATTTCCCTTTTCTTTCTTTTTCAGGGTTTTGTTTTGTTTTGTTTCCTTTCATTTTCACCTTTAGGAGTAACGGCCACTACAAAGAAAACTCAGGATGAAAAGATGGCTGACTTCTTGTTACCACTGGGTACTAACAACTTTCACCGGTTCACACCCGAATCCTTATCGGAGATTGAAAAGCGGATCTCGGCAAAGGTCGGAAAGGATGCCAAGCAGGAATATAGAGAGCAGGTGGGAGAGGAAGAAAAACTGCGGCCACAGTTTGACTTGCAAGCATGCAAGAAGCTGCCAGACATCTATGGATCTCCCCCATCCGAGCTCATCGGGGAACCACTGGAGGACATTGACCCCTTCTACGGAGATCATAAGGTCAAACCCGTCACCTCTGCACTTATGATTAAGAATAATGGAAGGGAATGAGGTAGAAGGGTATTTCTCACAGGAAATAATTTCCTTCCTGGATGAAGGACCTGAGAACTACTGTGTTTCCCTGAAAATAAGACCGGATCTCATATTAATTTTTGCTCCAAAAGACACATTAGGGCTTATTTTCTGGTTAGGTAGGGCTTATATTTGGGGAAATACGGTACTAAATGCGTCTGTCTGGCTGATGGTCTTAACTGGGTCTTATTTTGGCGGTGGGGCTTATATTACGAGCATCCTGAAAAATCATGCTAGGTCTTATTTTCCAATTGGGTCTTATTTTGAGGGAAACACGGTATCAGGGTCAAATTCCTGATAGCTAAGATGGGTGGGGTCCAAACAGGAGAATTGCAATATTATCATTAATAATAATAATAATAATAATAATAATAATAATAATAATAATAATAATAATAATAATAATAATAATAATAGTAATGTTGTTTGTGTACAGGTAGTCCTTGACTTACAACCACAGCTGAGCCCCAAATTTTTGTTGTGGAGATGGTTCTTAAATGAACTTCACCACACTTTATGACGTTTCTTGCCGTAGCTTTTAAGTAAATCACTGCAGTTGTTAAGTTGACAACATGGTTGTTAAGTGAATCTGGCTTCCCCAATTGATATTGCTTGTCAGCAGGGGATCCTGTGACCGAGGGACACTGCAACTGTCATAGCTACCTGTATGAATCAAGTTGCCAAGCGTCTGAATTTTGATCATGTGACCATGAGGATGTTGCAACAGTTATAAGTGTGAAAAACTGTCATAAGTTACCTTTTTCAGTGCTGTTGTAACTTCAAATGGTCACTAAATGAACTATTATAAATCGAGGACTACCTGTATATGTTTATACTATTTCAAATAAAATCGGGGTTGGGGGTGGATGTTGAGTAGACGAAAAATAAAAGTGAGATATAATCTTATAACGCCTGATTTATTATGCTTGCTTGTTCTGGAGAGCCACTACTTTTCTGTCCTGCCCTTTCAAGGCAATTTTTATACCAGATGCTCATGTTTGCAGAAAACATTAACCAATGTTCATGACCCCAAGCCATTAATTTGGCAAGTCTATATAAAATTGGTGAATGGGAGAACAGGAATGGACAACAAAAGCTGGTGGAATTGATCTTACCTTTATTGTTTTTAGTCATGAAGCTATGATGGCATTATTTCTTTTGGTCTCAAGAAGACAGAATAGAATAGGATAGGATAGGATAGGATAGGATAGGATAGGATAGGATAGGATAGGATAGGATAGGATGGAATAGAATATGGAATGGAATAGAAAAAGAAATGGAATATGAAATAGAACAGAACAGAGTAGAATAGAATATGGAATGGAATAGAAAATGGAATGGAATATGAAATAGAACAGAACAGAGCAGAACATAATAGAATAGAATAGAATATGGAACGGAACAGAACAGAATAGCTTATTTGGCCAAATGTGATTGGATGCACACGGACTTTTTCTCTGGTGCAGAAGCTCTCAGTGTACATACAAACAACAAAGTAATATAATCATAAGATACCAATAGTAGAAGGTAAAAGAAAAGATGAGAAGGATAATAGTAATGCAGCCGTATTACCTACAAAGAAGAAAAAGTACAGGTGGAGAAGAGGTTAATTCCTTTTGTTTACTACTCAATTGTTTTGCATTACCCCACTTGATATGGATTTTGGAACAGACTATTTTTTTTGTACTTCTGATCTTTTTGCGTATGCATAATTTGATCTTTAGCTTTCTGCATCCTAAGGGTACTTTCTATGTGATGCTTTAGTTCCACAGGAATATATAGTCTCTTTGTCCTTCCAAGATGCTGGATTGGGAATGATCTAGTTTTTTTGACCCAGCAAACCTCTGCATTAGCTTAGTCAATCAATACCAGATGCTTCAATGTCCTCAGGACTGACCCCTCATTAATTTTTTCACCTTTACTCTATGGATGAACCTCAGCCTTGCATAGGGTCCTCTGGACTTTTCAGTCCCAATGTAATTAGAAATGCTTTATTGGAATGGGCTGATCTTTGCATTTTATTAATAATTTTTGCATCTGGTTAACAAAATAGGGGCAGGCCTGGTTAATACTCTTGGTAAAAACAAAGCTATAGGCTACACCAAGAAGTTTAAAATATATTAGAAAAAAGCAGCAGTAGGTCACTTCCATATTTGGCCATGAAGAGTACTTGGATGTGTCCATTAAAGCTGGGGTCCCCAACCTCGGCAACTTTAAGACTGTGGACTTCAACTCCCAGAAGTTGAAGTTCACAAGTCTTAAAGTTGCCAAGGTTGGGGACCCTTGCATTAAAATCTCCAGAAATTAAACTCTACTTGAAGGGAATTTTACCTTTCATAAGAAAACGTTTGCTGATCACTTAAACAAACCATTGTTAAATGGGGCAGCTAAATAGTTAAAGATCTGTTCAGGATTATAAACTATGATGTCATAACAGGTGCCCCACAACTGAGCATTTTTTAATTTTGTAGACTTCAAACTCCCAGAATTCTCAGCAACGGCTGTGCTAACAAGGGAATTCTGAAAGTCCAAACATCTGGAAGTTACACATACTGGGGGATAACTGATTGCATTTGAATTTTATGTTGGATTCAACATAACCAGGTTCAACTTCCTTTCAGCAATGATGGATTGTGATCAGCCACTTCTTCGATTCATTCAGTATAGAGTACTTTTATACCTTGGCACATGACTGCTTCAAAACTCGTCAAGTTTGGTATTTGACGCATTTTGAAGAAGAAATTTTGTCCCGGTAATCGTCTTTCTCCTGCTGACCTCGGCTGCCTCATGATTGGCTAGTTCTACTGGCTGAAATAATGGGTCATGAGCAGTGGTGGGGTTCAAATAGGTGAACAATTGGTTCTCTGTGTGGGATGCCACTTCCGGAAGTCCATTCTGGGCCTGGGGAACAAAAAATTAGCTACCGGTTCTGCTGAAGTGGTGCGAACTGGCTGAATCCCACCACTGGTCATATGATGAGTCACGTGATTTTTCTCGGTACTCATTGGTTTTATTATTTGTTGCGTCTTCTGGAACAAATTGCCAACGGGTAATGAGGTACCACTGTACTAATTTATAATATGGTTTAGTGCAGGGGTAGGCAACCTCAGCTCTTTTATGACTCATGGACTTCAAGTCCCAGAATTCCATGAGTCATAAAAGAGCCGAGGTTGCCTACCCCTGGTTTAGTGTATTGTTTGAATTAAACCATAACAAAATATGCCCTCTAGAGTCTTTTGCTAGTTAGATATGCGACATATAAATTTAATAAAGAAAATAAATTAAAACAATAAAATGAATCTTTCCCTCTGTGATAATGTGATCTAAATTGCTATAGGTAATCCTCTTTTTATGATCATTTGTTTAGCGACCATTTGAAGTCACGATGTCACTGAGAAAAGTGACTTATGATGAGCCCTTGAACTTACAATCTTTGCAGGGCCCCGCAGTTACATGATTTGGCTGCTTATCAACCGGCATGCATTTATGACAATCACAGTGACCCACAACTATGGGATGGCTGTTTGTGACCTTCCCAGCTGACTTCTGACAAACCAAGTCAATGGGGGAAGTTGTCAGGAAGGTTGCAAATCACTGTCATGTGATGTCTGGCTTTATGATGTACCACTTAATGATGGATTTTCCACTCCCGGTTGTGTTCATAAAACGAGGACTACCTGTATGTCTTGATCCAGCCTATCTCAAAGGACAAAGGACAGTTGTTATGGAACTAACATTTAAGATAGGACTATTATCTGAGCTGCATTACAAAAAGGAGGGGGAGAGGGGATATAAAGATGGAAATATATATATATATTTCCACAAAACGCCTTTGAATCTTAAGGCTCAGCAGAGACTTGAGTAGTATTTTTAATTTTAGGAATTTTAGGAATTTTTGCAAGTGAGTACTGTACAACTCAATAAAAGAGAATACAAGTAGTCCTTGACTTACGGCCACAATTAATCCCAAAATTTATGTTGCTGAGCGAGAGATTTGTTAAGTGAATTTTACCCCATTTTAACAACCTTTCTTGCCACAGTTGTTAAATGAACCCCTCCAGTTGTTAAGTTAGTTACATGGCTGTTAAATGAATCTGGCTTCCCCATTGACTTTGCTTGTCAAAAATTGGCAAATGGTGATCACATGACCCAGGGACTCTGCAACTGTCATAAATATGAGTCAGTTGCCAAGCATCTGAATTTTGATCATGTAACCATGAACATTTTGCAATGGTCATAAGTGTGAAAAACTGTCATAAGTCACTTTTTTCAGTGCCGTTGTAACTTCGGTCTCTAAATGAATTTGAGGACTATCTGTATGTATAGCTCAGGGTTAAATACTCTGAACTTTATTGTTTGCTTGCAGTATTTCATTACCCCACTAGCTAACATCACTGTTAATGAGTATGGAGTTTGCTCACTGTTTATTCAGGTAGCTTGTATATTATTTAGAAAAGCTTGTTTATATACCAAGCAGGGGTGTAGTTTTTCCTTGATTAGAGTATTGTTCTCTGCTTGTTTGTCTGGTGTATATCTCTGTTTATCTGGGTGTTGAATCCAGGAAGTGTTCTGGATTCTTTTTTCCTTCTTGGTTTTTTTGTTGTGTCCTTTGAATAGTGTGTAAATATGGTTTATTTCTACATGGCTGTGGATGGCTAATTTGTCTGAATGGCAAGCTTCCAGGAATTTCCTAACATTTTGGGATTTAGCTTGGTCTAGGATGCTACCAATTTTCCAGTTAGTGAGTATATGTCTGGGCTGCCTACACATGAAATAATTGTGATCTTCTTTTTCTTCAAGGCATTTTGCTATACACAATGAGTAATATATGTTATGTGATAGCAGTGGCAAGAATAGCTGAACAAAGCTAGGGAGATTCCTAGAAGCTGATCAATTCTCATTGCTGGCTAGCAATAAATCTATAAAAAACAGTTTCTATGCAAGAACATTTTGGTGGGGTAATGAATGCTGCAAGCGTTATTGAATTATAGAGCAAAATGCAGAAAAGTTTCTCTTTGGAAGATCACTTTACTAGGTAGATTTGATTACATTTCAGTAGATCATGTGTTTTCCCCAGCCATATAAATTTAGTGATGTTTATTCTTGTTGGGTCTTTGCTATCTACTCACCTTTTAAAGGCATAGCTGGACTTAGCAAAATAATAATAATTTTTTTTTGCAAATTTACTTTTCTGTGAAAACACTGAAAAAACAAAGCTTAAACTGGAATTTTAAAGGGGGGTATTATCTGAAATAATAAATTAATCTGAAAGGTCAATTGATTTTTTTAAAAAGATTACATAAAAGTTATGGTCCAGGAAATCTTTCTTCTTGCTTTGGAAGTGATAATAAGCATCTAGGTTATTGTGATGAAAAGTAATTGAAAAGGGGAACAGAGCCCCCCCTCACTTTATTATCTCTCTCTCTCTCTCTCTTTATTATCTGTCTCTCTTTCTCTCTCTCTTTTTTATTATCTCTCTGTATTTCTGTTTCTCTCTTTGTCTCTTTTGCTCTCTTCATTATAGCTCTCTCTTTATCTCTCTGTGTTTCTCTCTTTGCCTCTTTCTCTCTCTTTATTATAGCTCTCTCTCTCTCTCTCTCTCTCTCTCTCTCTCTCTCTCTCTCTCTCTCTCTGTTTCTCCTTATCTCTCTCTCTGTTTCTCTGTCTCTCTGTCTCTCTCTCTCGCTTTTTATCTCTCTTTTTTTCTCTATTTCTAAAATAAATTTATAAATTTTATTTTTAGATATGCAACAATCCTCTATGTAGCACAGTCAGAATAATGGCAGCTATGCCTCTGCTTGTTCATTTTGCTCATAAAACATTCAATTGTACTTTTGTGTATAAATATTTATCCTGGTATCTAAACATCACTTTCAGAAAGAACAATATGAACCGTATGTTGACTGGAAAATAATGTCTAGTTTGCTTTTACAAGTAGCATGATGTGCAGTAGCTTAAACTCATATCTAACTAAATGTGTTGACTCCCTGCATTCCCAAGTAAAAGTTGTGGCTACTTTTAAGAGTTGTAATAACTTTAATGAGTGGTTTCTTTAAAGTAGCAACACCTTTCTTTTTTACCCTAATTCAACTAGAAGCGTAAAGAGAATCTGGCTGTTTTAATAAACAGCATAGAGGTTTGGGGGACATTTGAAGCACTGAATAATTTCTGAAGAAATAGAAATAGCTATTGCTTGCGTAATGTGAGTTTTTAATCCAGACCTTAATATTTGTTTATCTTCTCCTTTGTTTTTCCAGACATTTATAGTACTCAACAAAGGGAAGACGATCTTTCGATTTAGTGCCACTCCTGCCTTGTATATTCTTAGTCCTTTTCATCGAATCAGAAGAATAGCAGTTAAAATTCTGGTACATTCATATCCTTTTACCTGTTTATTTCTTGACCAATGTAGTTAGAATAACAGAATAAGAGAATTGGAAGGGATGTTGGAGATCTTTTAGTCTAACCCTCTGCTCAACGGGAGACCTTATACTTTTTCAGACAAGTGGCTGTCCAATCTCTTCTTAAAAACCTCCACTGATGGAGCACCCACAACTTCTGAAGGCAGGTTGTTCCACTGATTAATTGTTCCCCCTGTCAGGAAGTTTCTCCTTAGTTCTTCTCTCCTTGATTAGTTTCCACCCGTTGCTTCTTGTCCTGCCTTCCGCTGCTTTGGAGAATAGCTTGACTCCCACTTCTTTGTGGCAACCCCTGGAACACTGCTATCATGTCACCCCTCGTCCTTCTCTTCATTTCATTAGTCGCTGAACAGTAACAAGTCATACGAACTTCATTGAGTTGGTTGCTCTTATTTATTTAGAGCTGGGCCTTGAGGGTGTCTTCCAAATATTTTGAAATATAGCTCCAAGATTATTATTTTTTTTTACTTTCACAGACTCAGTCACAGATCAGAGATTATAGAAACTGTAATCCAAAACATCTGGAAGACACCATATTGCTTCCTTCTGCTCTTCTTCTTCTGAATATATTCATAGTTGCTGACTGTTAGACATTAAAAACCTTTTTGGGGGGAGAAGGAGGTATGTTAAATGAAACAAAATCTCTCAGTTCTATAAACCAAGAGAGCTGAATATTTTTTTAAAAACTTGCATACATAATAGAAGTTGAACACTTTGAATATTTCCCCCTTTATTTTGCATAATACCCTTTTGCAGATTCCTTTTTATTTTGCATAATTTTTGTTATGCTATGCTTATCGTGGGAAGGGACCACTTTTAGCCATCAAATATTGTGTACCCAAGGTGGTACCCGTAGTGGTGTGTTTCAAAAAGTAAGTCTGATCGTTGAGCTCCTGCAAGTATATTTATTTTTATTCATTAACTCTTCAGACTTTTAAAAGGTTTAAAAAAAACGGATGAAATTGTGCTTTTGGTTTAAAAGAATGCTTAAATAGAGGGGGAGTCGTAATCTATGCCGACTAACTTATTATGCACTGGATTTATGCATATATGTTAATTTTTAATTTTTGAAGCACGAACAATTTTTGAAGAATGCATACAAAGCCTGTTTAAACCTTGTCTATTTACTTGTCATGGGTGAACATAATAAATGGGTAAGTGTGTATTTAATTTTTGTTTTTTAAATGAGTGACCTATACTTTTAAAAACTGATCAACTCCCACAACTGCAAAAGATGCAGCTTTTCCTGATAAAGTGACACAAAGAGAATGTATTTCAATTATGCACTGATGAAACTGTTAGCTATATTGTATTTTGAAATTTAATGAAATCTCTTTGTTGTGTTGAATTATACATTTTGCTGCTCCTTTTTTTTATACCCTGAGATTGTTGAACAGAAAAAAAAATACCTATCCTGACTTCATCCTATAAGTTATTAGTGGGATTAGGTTGTGGTGCCCAGCAGGTACTTGAAATAGATGCTATAATACAATGGATAACTTTTGTTCTTCATAATGTTCTTCTGATTCCAGTTTGCACACCATGCATTGGACAATATTTTTTGCCTTATATGCTGGTTTACCCAAACTCATGGCTAGTTTATGGGCCAGTGTGCCATATGCATCCAGAGACCAAGGTTAACTAAATCGAGGTTAAGCCAGAATTGAGAACAATGGTTGAGAACAGTGGTGGTGAACAGTCTATTATTAAATCCAACTATAATTTGACTTAACATAAGGAAGCTTCTAACTAACTTGTCTTCTCCAAATGTCCAATCAGTAGTCATCTGATAGGCCCCACCTATCAATGTAAGCAGGCCAGACAAAACTCCAGCCTTGGAATCCTGTGTTTTTTTTAAAACCAGATCAGAGTCAGGTGGTGCATTTGCCCAAAATATAAGACTTGCTTTGTTATAAAGAAATGAGCCTATTTTGGGTCAGTATATTGTATGACCCCCTAGAACAGGATGATGTATATTATGAGATGCAGCCCCTGAATATTAGGCCTGTGTGAAGTGATTACGGGCTGTCCTTGACTTACAACCATTGGCTTAGTCACTGAAGTTACAACAGCACTGAAAAAAGTGAACCTATGACTGTTTTTCACACTTTAGACCAGGGGTAGGCAACCTTGGCTCTTTTATGACTCGTGGACTTCAACTCCCAGAATTCCTGAGCCAGCCATGCTGAGAGGAAAGGGAGAGTTTCCAAGCTGAGCCATGCTGGCTCAGGAATTCTGGGAGTTGAAGTCCACGAGTCATAAAAGAGCCAAGGTGGCCTACCTCTGTTTTAGACTGTTGCAGTAGCCCCATGGTCACATGAAAAAATCGATGTTTCGTAACTGGTTCATCTTTATGACAGTTGCAGTGTCCCTAGATCATGTGATCCCCTTTTATGACCTTCTGACAAGCAAAGATAATGGGGAAGCCAGATTCACTTAATCATTGTGTTACTCACTTAATAACTACAGTGACACATTTAACAACTACGGCAAGCAAGGTCATAAAATGAGGCAAAAATCACATAACAACTGCATTTCTTAGCAGAAAATTTGGCCTCAACTGTGGTCATAAGTGGAGGACTACCTGTGCTATTAGCTTCAACAGAGGGCTTCAGGACATAGTGGATTTGTTTTGATTTACTTTGCTGATCAAAAGAGACCACCTAGTTTTATTCTCATAAAGCAATTAGGGTGGTCCTGAACTGCTTCAGCTTTAGTGCTATGGTGGAATTGTACTTTTACTTTTGCCCAATGCTTCCAGCATGCCTGAATACTATCTGCCATGCCCTAAATAGGTGACTTGACAGAACAGAACAGAACAGAACAGAATAACAGAGTTGGAAGGGACCTTGGAAGTCATCTAGTCCAGGGCTTTTCAACCTTTTCACACATTGTACCACTTTTAGGATATGGCAACATCCGAGTACCACCAGTCGCCTAGCAAGGTATCAAAAACTTGATGACCAAAAAAAAAAAAGAGAAAAAGTGATAAAGTACAGGTAGTCCTCAACTTCCAACAGTTCGCTTAGTGACTGTTCGAAGTTACAATGGCACTGAAAAAAGTGCCCCCCAAGCCACAGCCGAGCAAGATACCTGCCTGCCTACCCGGCGGCGCTCTTCCTCCAGTCCGAGGTTTTCATTGTTGTGAGCATTTCTGTTGAGGATTGGCAGCAGGGGTGGTGGGGTGGGGGTGTGTTTGGTTTTTATTCCCCCCCCATCTGCTGGGTGGTTGCAGCAGGTTTTGGTCACTTCACATGACCCTGGGACACTGTGACCGTCATAAATATGAATCAGTTGCCAAGCATCTGAATGTAAATCACAAGACCCTGGAGAGGCTGCAACATTCCAGCTGATTCGGCGCTTCTTATGGGCTCAGCAGAAGTGTCAGGATCAGCGCCGAGCTCCAGCTGGAGCCTGGCACTGATCCTGGCGCTTCCGCTGAGCCCTGACAGCCCTGCAGCTCCAGCCGTCTCTCGCTCAGGCTTGTGCGGTGCTGCCACCGGTTCAGCTCATTCCCCTCCCCCGCTATCACTTTTCTAGGATGGTCGCGTACCACCTGCCAGGTGCCAATGTACCACAGGTGGTACCCGTGCCACTGGTTGAAATGCCCTGATCTAGTCCACCAGGCAGGAATCCCTATACCATTTCAGACAAATGGCTGTCCAGTCTCTTCTTAAAAACTTCCGATATTGGAGCATTCACAGCTTCTGGAGGCAGGTTGTTCCACTGGTTAATTGTTCTCACTGTCAGGAAATTTCTTCTTATTTCTAGATTGCTTCTCTCCTTGATTAGTTTCCATCCATTGCTGGAAATCAGATGATCTGGTTTGGTTATTTGGAGAAGACAAGCTAGTTAGAGGCTTCCTTGGGCTAAGTCGGATTATATTTGGATTTAATGAACAGTGGTTCTGAACAGCCTATTATTAAATCCAAATATAATCTGACTCAGCATAAGGAAGCTTCTAACTAGCTCGTCTTCTCCAAATGACCAAATCAGGTCTTTCCCAAGCTGCATGGGAGAAGGCCATGAGGACTCTGAAACAGGGCAAGATGCTTCTAAACATGAAAGGATCATGAATGAAGGCAAATATACAGGTCACAGGATAGGGATAAAGGTAATGGTGATAATGATGCAAAATCGTATTTGGATCAGTCACCAGGACCAGAGAAAGCATCGTGTTGCTTCTTAAAACAGCTTAAAAGAGGAGCTAACCCTAATAATGCTGCAATGTGCAATCTGCCGCCTTAGTTTGATGTTTAAGTGAAGATTTCATTATCTCCACTCCTCTACGGCCCTTCTTTATGTGCAGGTAGTCCTCGACTTACGACCACAATTGAGCCCCAAATTTATGTTGCTACGCGAGACATTTGTTGAGTGATTTTTGCCCCGTTTTATGACTTTTCTGGCTACAGTTGCTAAATGAAGCATTGCAGTTGTTAAGTAAATCTGGCTTCCCGTTGACTTTGCTTGTCCGTAAGTCCCGAAGTTGATCACATTACCCTGGGATATTGCAACTGTCCCTCACAGGCCAAGCATCTGAATTTTGATCCTGTGACTAAGGGGATGCTGCGGTGGTTGTAAGTGTGAAAAACAGGCGATAAGTCACTTTTTTTCAGTGATATTGTAACTTTGGACCATCACTAAATGAACTATTGTAGGTTGAGGATTACCTGTATTGGAGCCTTGGTGGTGTAGTGGTTAGAATGCAGTATTGCAGGCTTACTCTGCTCACTGCCAGGAGTTCGATCCTGATGGGGCTCATGGTTGATTCAGCCTTCCGTCCTTCCGAGGTCGGTAAATTGAGGACCCAGATTGTTGGGGGGCCATAGGCTGACTCTGTAAATTGCTTAGAGAGGGCCATAAAGCACTGTGAAGCAATACATAAGTCTGAGTGCTAATGCTATCTCTCTATTTCTCTATCTATCTATCTATCTATCTATCTATCTATCTATCTATC